TGGGGGGGGGGGGGGGGGAGGGGGGCATATCTCTAACTGGTATATTTCGACTTGAAATGCCCAATGAATGTTCCCTGTTCAATCAGATCAATACTGATAAAAAGATCAAATATTAAAGAGGGTATGGAAACACAGGTAGTCCCACTCATGATTAACAGCACTTACCTTGAGCCCTGTTCGTATCAGCTGTTAACCTCGTACGTCGACCGACTGCTGGAGAATCGTTATGCACTGTGTAACGTCGTGTCTTGATAATGACGGTTAAAACAACATTAAGTGCGCTACTGCGCCTGCGCGACCCTGAAAGGTACGGCATAGCAGGGTGAGTCACTGGCCTCTCTTTTTTGAAATTAACAACAACGCGTAACAACTTATTAGTTACCGTCTGAGAGCACAAGTAGGTGGGGGACTAATTTCCGTGTCGCTTAAAGGTATTGTTTGAAATTTCATCAAGAGAAAAAAAGCAAAGTTTGAGAAAAACTAATAGAAGAATAGAAATGGAATGAGATCGCCGTGATACATGTAATTGAAATGATAAGATTTGATGGAGTAATTCATGAATATAAGAACACCAGTGCAAATATCCACCCACCTAATAATTAATAAAAGATAATTAAAAGGATAATCATTGTTCATTTTGGCTAAAAAATGGATTCCTCTGGGGTAGGCCACAGTTTTCCCATACTAACCAGTGGTTAACAAATCCTTTCCGACATTCAAAGTTAGTCTATGTTAATTTTTTTTTTTTTTAGTTTGGGTTTTTGAAATTATCTCTTTTAAAGAGATTATGACAGAGTATAGCTATGCATCTATGAAGATCATCTGGTCCGATGGCAAGAACAGATTCCAGAACAATTGCGATAACCGCCAATTTGGTGATAAAATAGAATTTACAATGTAGGCCTACGATATATATGTACTAGTATTTATTGAAAAGTATGGATCTCATACAAAGAGTTGTCATCCCTTAAAGGAGTATGAAGTAGGTCGTGCGTAACAACCGTGCCTAAGGACATACCACTGTGCTTTTCGTTCTTTCATAAGAGATAAAAGAAAACAAATTATCACAAAAAGTTCCACGTTTCGGTTATTAACACGAGACATAGTGAACAGATTAGGGAGTGGGTTGGGATTGGTCAGGTGTAAGTTAAGTCACTTAAAAACGCCTTAACTACGTTAATACCATCCGGAGTTACGTACATGTCTATATTACGTCTTTAAACGACGACACATAATCTTATGCCGAGCCTTTCTGTTTCTTTCTTTCTTTATTATTTTATTTATTTAAAAAGAAACAAACAAAAAAAAATGAAATGTAATGCCAAAACAATATCTTCCGGTACCGGGAATCGAACCCGGGCCGCCTGGGTGAAAACCAGGAATCCTAGCCACTAGACCATACCGGACTACACGAGTTAGGGAGGTAAGAGGTAAGTTTGTATACCAGTCATATCACTATCAAGATTGCATTAGTTTAGGAATAACTGCTACATGGTATTCCTTTTCCATTTTCTCCAAAACGAATCCCTTGGTTTCTTTGTCAGTTTTTTTTCCTATTATTTTTCAAAATCCAAATATCCATTAATTGCATAAATCAGTTATAACTGCTATCGAACGGTCACGATGACCGTAGGGCATGAAAAATAATGGGGTAATTATATTTTATCATTAGTATTATTAGTATCATTAGTATTATCAACCGGATGCATATCCCACTCCTGTTAGTTATAAGCTTGGTCGAACACATTCCACGACCAATTTTGGACGATTGTTTTTTCTAAAATTTAGAAATAAATGAGGGCTGGGTCATCTTGCCCTTGTTAAATTAACTTCATGATCTCCATCCAACCGACCTTCGTAATAAATGTTGTTAGTTAGCGCCAGTAATGAGGTTCTACTAATGATGGCGTTTGCTGTCGTGTTTACGCAATGACGTCATTGGTTAAAATCATTGTTATTAAAACTAAAAAAAAAAAAAAAAAAAAAAAAGCAGGGCTGTGGACGCGATTTGCCAGCGCGCCTTGCTGAAAACCGGGTGAGGATTGGGAATGTGGACGCTGAGGTAGGGGTGGGGTGCGGTGCACAGCCTTCTCTTCCTCACCGCTGCTTCAGTGCCTCGATAGGTGAAACGGCTTCAGGTGCTGGTACCCTCTGATATCACGGAGGCTTTAAGACAACTAAACAAATTTAATGGATACAATAATTTCGTAACAGACTTCTGGCGGACCCTGTGGAAAACCACCTGCTAAACCTTAAAGTAGCCAATAAGGAGCTTTTGACGAACGCTTACAGTATCCTTAAAGGACTGAAATTGTGCATAAGTGGTTACAATACAAACAACATTCTACATAAACATTCATACATATATATNTCTCTCTCTCATCCACCCTTCAACGCGTGCAAACTTGTATAAAGAGATACATGTACACACACACACAGATACAGAGAGAGAGAGAGAGAGAGAGAGAGAGAGAGAGAGAGAGGAATTTAATGGTAGTAACACGTTGGTTGTTTTTTGCTCCAAACGGACAGAAGGAAAGTAGCAGGTGCCAAGCTCCATTCCATATTTTCTACAATTACCATACTATAACACGCGCCAGTCCTTAAATAATTTAAACAAACCTGCTTCTATAAGGGATAGTGAGCGTATTGACCCGTGGGCGATAAACTCAAACGATGCTTAATCAATTATAATATTCCTTACACCTCCTGACCATAAGTTATACTGCTGCATGCATATTAAATCATAAAAAAGTACTAGCGTGCCTACAAACACAGTTCGACCTTTAAAGGTCTCGAACATGAATGATATACCTCCGACAGGTGCCAGCATATGACTGCCATATCTACACACGAGGGCTTGGATTTCAAACTGTTTTTTCATATCATCTTGGTTTAGATTTAAAATAGTAATCAGAGGAGTCGGTCAGCTCAATGATGTAAACTGGGCAGTCGAATACGAGGTGAAATAATAATAATAATTATTATAATTATTATAATAATAGATTGATGGTCGTGTAACCATCAATGGTGAATCTGTTTTTCTACTAGTGTATGCCTAACTGCTGTTTAATCACTCTTCTTTCCCTCATATCATTCAGAGCGAAAAAATGCCCAATAAATCCACTTCTAAGTTGTATTAATCTCACCAATTAGAAATGATCAATTCAATACTTCTTTTCAAAAATCAAACAAGGGGAGACCAATTATATAGCCAGGTATAGTTAGGCAAGATACGACACCAGAATATCATTTGTCAATACAAACTACAATGAGTATGACATCTTTTAAAAGTTTGAATTACAACATGATAGTTTATCCTAACGTCAAATAATATTAACTGCTTACAATAATCAAAAGACAATCAGACACTACCTATCACATATAAAGCACATGAAATCCCACCTACCACTTAAACAGACTAAAAACCAAGCGAAAATTCCAGATACAGGTTCACAAAAATTTACCAGTTTCTCCAGCCTCTCTCTCGGGCCGACACTTCGCGCTTCCTATTAGCATATTTTCGCCGTTAAAGAAATTCCTGACCGCATTTTTAATGCGATGATCAGCATTGAAATCCAATGCGTTTCAAAACAGGTAAGCAAAAGGACAGGTGAGGCGAAGGTGTGTGTTAATGTTACAGCCCAATTTACGTGTTGGGGTTGGCGAGGGGTGTTTTAGGGAAATAATATTGATTAAGTTGATTGACATACCCCGCCTGCATGCTGATTGACATGACATTGTTATGCCGTTATACTTATTAAGCACATCTTTTAGTTTCAAAACTGCACTTCAAGCTTCTTATGGATTATACAAGTGAAAAATGATTTTTGTATTTGACATTTGAAGTTTAAATTATCACACAAAAATATACAGACTTTTTTATGAGATTTTTATACATCTGTATAACAGTTCCTTTTAACGGCAAAGGACGGAACTTTGAAGAAACATTTCTAGAAGTCTGTTATTTAAACCCTATATCTCGGTGACATTGGGATATCGCTCTAGAGACACCCTTTCTTTGAGCCAAGTGGGGCTGAGAGTCTTCATGGGTCAAAAATTTCCTGAGGTCTTCATCCATACGTCTTCAGTCTTACATTACAACCTGTATTTCAGCTCCTCCGCGTCAGAGAAAGGGCTTTCCTGACTCATTTTGCCACGTCACGAGACTTCCTTAAATGGCAGGGAAACCCCCGAGACTACCTGGCGCTCTGACAAAAAGGTGTTACCGAGCATTTGTCGGTGTTGGATAAGATTCAACATTTTTAAGTAAGTGGCATCGTGGATGTTATGTTAATTCATGATTTTATTGATTCCATCAAAAAAACATTATTTTCATTGTTTTCATTTTTTAACGAACGAAAAGAAAAACACCAGGACTTATTTCCTCATTGTTTCTATAGAAAAGAAACAAATGTTAAAGAGGGGGTTAAACATTTTGGCCGAATGACAAATAAATGAAAACAGTTCTTTCTACCGTTTTGAAATGCCATGGTTGACAAGCAGGGTGGGTGATAAAGCCGTTGGGTTATTTTCAATAGGGGTAGATAAGTTGCTAGCTAATTGAAAATACTACCTTGTTCTTCACAGATGACTTACTTATCATGTAATATTGTCGACCAGCTGTGGCATCTAGATCTACACCGATTTAGATACATGGCGATCTCCTGATGCAACTTTTCATGGCATAAAAACGAATCAAGCAAAAAAAAAAAAATCGTTTCGAAAATAAATTCGCATGTACAAGAACATGACAAGATTTCAGCTTAATAGACGGATATAGACATGGCAAGATAAATGATTAAACCGAAAGGCAGTTAAACTGTGATGCACTGTTCATGTAAAGGGGTAAATACCAAAGGTCTGAGTGATGGCTATCAACAGGTATACATACTTTATCGGATACAAATACAGTGAATGGCTGTAAGAGGAAAACGCATATTTCTTTCATTTTATGCACAATGAATATGTACGTGGTGGCATATACAATTGTACGCACATTGATACAATTTTTCAAGAACTGTTGCAGCGTCTGTCATCAAGATGGTCAAAAAAGTGTCACAAACCTGGCACGCGACTTGTGCGACCTCAACTGGCCACATCACCGCTTATCTGATGGTCTAAATGGACGGTTTGACCTTTATCGTCTGCTTTATCGCTAGAAGGAAACCGTTGAGATGTATATCGCCATTATGTGGTAATGATATCATCTAGACCCAACAAAATGGTCAGCATACGAGGTGTGTGTGTGTGT